TCCTTGGGTTGGCTTGTTATCGATTTAGAAGACCTGAGATTGAACGTGGATTTCCAGCGGTCCGCCAAAGGCAGAGGGCTCGCGGCCCCGATCCGCCCACCCCATGCACCCCCGCTCTCCACGTTAGAGGCACCGAAGCTGAAAGCTTATGGGTCCGTGTCCCGAGCAAGCCGGCACGCCTGGTTTCTCAGCACGCCCTCTTGCTTTCGGCCCGGGATCCCGTTGGCCCTAGAACCCTTTTAGAGATATATGTCGGTATTTCTTCTTCGCTATTATTATTATTAATAAAAAAGCGACCCACGGCCCTCTGGGGTTTGCCACTGGCTAGGTTCAGCAGCTGCTGGAGCTTGTGTACGGGGTGGGGAAGGACGTGGAGCTGACCCCGAGCGGGCTGTCCGAGAGGGGCGTCTGGGGGGCGGCCACCCCCGTGCTCAGCCCCCGGACCTCCGCGATGGTGGCCAGGAGCTGTTGCTGCTGCTGGCGCAGAGCGTCCGTGATCAGCAAAGGCAAGGCGTGGAAGCTGGTGGCCAGTTGCTCCAGCTTGGCCTCCAGGCCGCCGATCTGTTTCTCCAGATCTTCGCTCCGGTCGTTCAGCTCCGTGATGAGGTCGTACATGACGTTCTGCATCTGGGGGAGAAAAGGGCAGGAAATGGGGACGATGGGCGTTGCAGTCCAACCATCGTCTACAGCAGTGGATCCCAAACTAGGGTCCCACACCCCCCCGGTGATCTTGGACTGCAGCTCCCAGAAGCCTAGGATGCTGGTGGATGATGGGCATTGTAGTCCACCGTCATCTACAGCAGTGATTCCCAATCTTGGCTCACCCGTGTGTTTTTTGGACTGCCGGCCTAGGATGCTGGTGGATGATGGGCATTGCAGTCCACCGTCATCTACAGCACTGGTTCTTAACCTTGGGTTACTCAGGAGTTTTGGACTGCAAGTCCCAGAAGCCTTCACCACCAACTGTGTGCCTCCAGTGTTTCTGGGAGTTGCAGTCCAAGCACACTATCTGGGTGACCCGAGGTTGAGAACCACTGAGTAGAAGGATGTTGGGAATGGTAGTCCCACCCACTGCCTTTAAGCCTTGTTCCTCCACAGCCATGCCCCTCCGGGTCCTCCCCCCCCAAAAAAGTAATATCCACGTTTCACATTCCACACAAAATATTTTCAGGTGGGGGTAATAGGATTGTGCAGTAACGCCCTGGCATGTTCATAAGGACTAGGAACTTGATTTTCAAAGAAATAAATACAAAACTCCGCATGAGAGAAAATTTCACACTCAGGTAAAGGCGCAGAGGAGAGGGGGAAACGGGAGATGTGTCAATGTGATCGTATGTGAGGAGACTTCATTTTCTTTCAAGCCCTATAAGGGTGGAGAACTCAGTGGTTTAGGGATCTGGCCGCAGAGTTGGGAGGTTAGGAGTTCGAATCTCCCCGAGTGGTTTAGGGATCTGGCCGCAGAGTTGGAGGTTAGGAGTTCGAATCTCCCCGCACTGGGCCTCCCGAGAGAAGAGCCAGTCTGGGTAGCCCTGGGCAAGCTGCACAGCCCCAGGGCTCCCCCTAGAGGAAAGGAAGGGTTAAATTCCAGCTGCTGCAGAGCCAGAGGTTGGGAGTTTGAATCCTCGCGGTGCCACCTCGGCAGGGGTTGGACTTGATGATCTATAGGATCCCTTCTAGCTGGGCAGTTCAAAGAGGAGGCACAGCGAGGGGGGAGAAAGAGAGAAAGAAAGAAAGAGAGAGAGATCTTGATTGCTTCCTTTCAAGGGGTTGCCTAGCAACCGACAGCAAAGAAAAGGCCAGATGAAATGAAAAGGGCCGATTGTTAAAAATTGTGTGTCTCTCTCCCCCCCCCTCCGCTTCTCCTGGAGTTTGGAAAGAATTTGTTAACAATTAATGTGTCCCTCTCCCGGTGCGTGAAAAAAAAATGGGTCAACCCGCTGGTCCAAACACCCGCTGGAAAAAATCTCCCAAATATGTGCCTTTTATTTTCATCCTTGGGCAGAGCCAGCGTTTCCAACCCGGGAAACAGCTTCAAGGATATTTCAATCCGTAACTTTTGGGAGGGGGGGGCGAGTCATCTGAGTGGACGCTGGCTGGATAGCTCCGGGCTGGAAGTCTCAGGCTGCGGAGCCAGAGGTCAGGAATTCGAATCCCCCCACCGGGCCTCCAGGTAGGAGAGCCAGCCTGGGGAGCCTGGGGCAAGCCGCACCGTCCCACAGCGCCCCTAAGAGGAAGGGAAGGGTAAAGCGCTTCTGAGGAATATCTCCCAGGGAAAAAAACAACCCTGGAAAAGTGTCGCCATCAGTCAGAATTGACTTGGCGGCACAGCATTATTAATAATAATAATAATAATAATAATAATTCCGGTGGTGCACCTTGGCCGTTGGTAGCAGTTTTCGACAGCTTCTCTAAAATTGTAT